GTTTGCTTGTTTGATGTATTATTATTAGTTGACTGTCACAGGCTACTTGTTGTTGGCAAGCTCTCTAGTAAAGGAATTCAATTGAAATTTTAAAAAAGTAGGCTAAAAATGCGGGCTTCTAATATTATGATGTTGATAACACTGGCTAAGTCATGAAAATTTGTTAGTTGGTTCAAAATTTCTTTCGGGAGACGCTAACACCACGTGATGATATCACAAGTTTGTAGAGTAGAGTTTATTTACATTCCATAGATCGTTCTTAGGACTCAACCAAAGGATGTAGAACACGTCATTTCATACAATATATTAATACATAAACTTCAGATTCTGCGATACAAGTACGAAAAATAATTTTACAAATTAATATACACAAACATCAGAATTTTAAATTTTAAATAGAAATACAAAAATTGCTTTGCTAATATAGTCTCTTTGTAAAGTGAGATAAAGTGCAGAACTGCGCCCTGTATCTAAATTTGCTTGTCGCTCGTCGCCATTGTGTTTTGGAATTTCTCGAGCTTTATAAAACCGGAGTTCTGATTGAATTCATCGGCCAGGGACTTGTTTGATTCCGTTTAGGTCGAGAATCCTGTGCTCTGTCTTTTAATACAGGCAGTAATAACGAAGCCGTGGTCTTTATTGGTCGCCATGGAATCGAGCCGACGTTCGGTTGATCACATTCCACCACTGCAGTATGTAGTTGTCTCTCCGATTCGGTTCCGGGCTCTGCTTTTTGATGATTTCCCCCCCCCCGCCCCCCGCGGGGATGGCAGGGATTTCCACAACTCGAGACAGACGGACTGACACTGTTGGAATTGGAAACTTGATGCTGAAAAAGGTCCGGGATCTCCGTCTTGGAAAACGCCAAAAGTTGTTTCATTATTCAAACAAGCTAGGAAATGTATGCTGTGCGTGGCGTTCGTTTTCGTGGACAATGACCTATTGAAAATAGTCCATTATAAATAATAACCTATGCGTATACAGGCGGACAGGTTGAAATTAATATCAAATTAATAAATGATCTTTATGAAGTCTCCGACGTCTATTAATAGACGGGCTGGAGTTCGCTTGTCGTTTTGATTTTTTAAATAGCTCTCGCGTTAGATCATGCTTCCTGAGGCTGACCACTGTTCTTTGTGAATGGCTTGGGTGAAGGCAGCCATCTTAAGAAACTGGAGGTTAATTTGATATATATTTTGTGGATCACGAAAAATCATTTGACAGAATTGCAAAATTTTCCACGGTGGTTTATAAGGGATATTATGAAGTCTGAGCGAAGAAACAAAGAAGTAGGCTTGATAAATGAAAAGAATAACATATAAAGTACGAGGCGCGTCCACAAAGTAAGTTTCCCTGGGGCCGTTTACAGAAACAAAACACAATTTCATGGAAATATTTATTGCAACAGATACAGTAAGTGTCCAGCTATTTTTCAACATATTCGCCACCGGAATTGAGACATTTGTCATACCGTGGGACCAACTTTTGAATACCTGTGTCGTAGAAGTCTGCCGCCTGGGATTGGAACCACTGTGTGACAACCATCTCCGCCTCTCTTTCATTCTCAAAACGCTGACGCTGACGCTGACCGGACAGGAATTTCTTGAGGTGTAGGAAAAGATGGAAATCACTGGGAGCGAGGTCCGGGCTGTAGGGTGAATGATTAAACACCTCCCAGCTGAACTCCTGCAGGAGACTTGCTGTCCGTCGAGCCGTTTGCGGCCTAGCGTTATCACTGACCGCACTTCACAGTCGGCGGGAGCTGGAATAAGAACCTCCATCTTCAACAGCTGCAACGATGCTACTGTGAGAACGCGGGAGGTGCCGTTAGTGCATGCGCCATGTTACGTCATTGCTCTATCACGTACGCACAGTCGCTTCGCGCAATATAAGGTTTGCTAGCTGTGGGACGAGTGGGAAACTTACTTTGTGGACGCGCCTCGTAGTTAGTTTTTTGTTCTTTCATTTAGATAATGATTTATACATGTATTCTCCTTTAGTCCTTATTTCTACAACCTCAGTGCATTTTATCGTTGTCTTGTAAGTTAATTTATCGTTTGTAATAAACCAAATTCTTCTCAGAATAAAGAAGAATTGTTTCCTCTCGTGTTTCGTTTCGATACAACAAATCAATAAATCGTATATTGTAGATGAAATGGCGTGATCAGACAATAAAATGACGAGGGATATTTTAGTAATGTTCCACAATATTGTATCCAGTCCGAGTTTATGTTTTGGAAGTGAAAGATGAGTTACGAAATAAAAGTAGAAAGTAAGAAAAAGACAGTATTTACAAATAGTTTCTGGGCGTGTCTTAAAAGGGGGCAGATCGCAGAACGAAGAATGCGAACCAGATCATAAAAAGTACACTTAACGACAAAATTATTTATGAATTATTCTGGTGACAACATACAGAAACTGGGGGGAAAAAATTGTTCGGGGGTCCATTTTAAAAAGAAACGACGAAGGATTTATAAGTTAACCTAAAACCAATTCTAAACAAGTAGATTATTTGCGTGTGCGTAGACCGTGTTCAGAATAAGTAATTGAATGTAGAGTCCCGGGCGGATGGATACCATTTCTGTTTCATTATAATGTACAGTGTGTGGCCCATCTGAATGCGATGTTTCTAATTCCAGTTCTGGAAAAGCATATCATTTCTTGGTCCGCAGAAGAACTTTGAGGAACTTGCCAGCGCCTTGATCGTCCGTCGGATTCTCGCAGAATTGCCTCTCCTGGTGGACAGAGAGGCAATGGGACAGGATTTTATCCGAGCCCTTCCATTGTTTTTCCACTGTCAGTGATACTCAACCGTTGCTAAAATTCACTAAAATTTCATCTGGCGGATAGACCTGGCTCTTTAGTTTATTATTTAGTGTTCTGTCTGACGACAGGTCCATATGAACAGGATCCTTCCATCCTTTTCTCGGACTGGGACCTGTTCATATACGTTCTTGGCAGATGATCCAGAAGTGGTTTGCCATTGCCTTCTTCTGTGTGTGAATGGAGTAATTGTTGGGATGCCACGGAGGAAAACTCCGTGTTGCCTAGACCACGGCCTTGCCCAACACAAGTTAGAAATTCGGGCACCGCCGGGAATCGAACCCGAGACCCCAGGATTACAAGGCCAATGTTTGTTTGTTTGTTTTTCTCGTACTCCACCAGACTTTTCATTTAGTAACGTGCATAATGGATTTTCCCCTCCAGAACCTTCGCTTGTTTCTCGTATAAAATGGTCCGTGCACAATTCTGACTTTAATTAAATTCCTACGCATTTATATTACTTTGTATTTGCAAAGTCCTGAACTTCATAATATAATCGCACTACAGATGTCCACGGCGAACGGACAAAACGAAGCTGTAGGTAAAATAGCTTGACCACTGAGACGTAATGAAAGATTTTCTGACTGCAGCTGGTACATGAAATGTTGACTGTGGAATATTTATTAGTTGACGGGGGGTTTCCTATTTCGCCAATTCTTTTATTTAGGAAGCAAATTCACGAAAGATGGACGCAGCAAGGAAGACATTAAAATCAGATTAGCACAAGCGAAAAGAGACTTCTTCAAAAAGAGAAGTCTACTAGTGTCAAAACATTGACCTGGAATTAAGAAAGATTTTTCTGAAGTTATATTTGGAGCACAGCGCTGTACGAAAGCGAAATATGGACAGTGAGGAAGACAGAAAGAAGGAGGGTAGAAGCATTTGAAATGTTGGAAATTAAATGGACTGATAAAATACGAAATGAGCTGGTCTTAGACAGGATAGGCGAAGGAAGAATCTTACGAGAAGAAGAGATAGGAT